ATAAGACTATTATAAGATTCACATAAGATTTTCATAAGAATTTCCAAAAAAGTTTTGTCTAGGGGAGAATCAGTTGATTCTTTTGACCGTACAGATGTCGAAGATTGCAGCCGTGAATAATAAAGAATGGAATACTCATGATTTAGATTCACTTTATGAAAACAAGTAAAACAGAAAACTCACGTTCGCTTTCCAGTGAGGACCTGATCCAGTGAGAAAAGAACTGGACAAAGATACGTTAATGAAAAAAGTGCTTATAGCTCTTCCCATTTCTGCGGACATAACTTTAAAAAGATATTTTTCGTGTATGTAACTAGAAAGGTTTTCTTGATCAGTTTCGATCAATTTCGACCGACTTATGCAATGCGAATAAATGATTCTGATAGACACTCAGAAGCAACTTTGTTTTGGAGCATCTTAAAATAACCATTTATGCACTCTTATTATTTTAAAAGCAAATAATGTGTACATGCAAAAAGTCAAATTTCACGAAAAGGTACATGTTTTTTTCTTAGATTGAGTATTATTTGTGCTCTTTTGTCATCTTCTTTTGCATGCTCTTTTGTCCATTATCTGACATTCTTGTCAAATTCTTCTCTATTATTGCTAAAAAGAGCAGCAGGTTCTGGAAATGCTGGATTATCATCTGAATTTGGCAACATCAAGAGTGGATATACCGCTGATAGAAATGGACCTACAGCTGTCCTGGGCGACCATTGTTGTGCTTCTTGCAGTGTTAAACTAACACTAACTGTCTTATCATTTTTATCACTGTGTTGATGAACTCGGATGATACAGCGGCGGATTAAAACAATGGGCGGTTTAAGGCCTCCTCATCCTCCCCGGTCTGAAATCTATCTCGGTAACCACTAGTCTGCTCTGAGCGAAGATTTTTGGGAAGGTTGGGCAAGCCGAACATATAAAATATCGAAATGTACCTTGACACTAAGACATGGCGACGAATCTCTTTTATTTGTAGTCTAGACTTGATACCTTGCCTCTTAATCGTTACAATGGTTAAAAAAGAACACAGAAGTTATGATAAGCGAAATACACCATACGTTCGTGTACTCATTCATTTCCTTCCCACTATTACTATTACATTTCTACATTCCGTCGTTGATCCTTTTAAAATTACTTCCATCCACAAACTTATAAACCAATTTATAATGATTTTTACCACCCCAATACGTGCCGCTTACTTCAATCACAGTATTATTCTGCCCGCGTTTCCATGTACCGTCGAAATTTCCATAGGTTATTGGTGATGTGCCACACTAACCGATATTTTGACGAGAAGTAAAACGATCATCATCTTTCTCAAACTAGCAGCCACCCTTATCATATTTCAATTTACTTGATCTCACATAAATGTCAGAGTATTTTTTCTCGGAAACCCATAATCCCATTAGTGGATCCTCGTCCACATTGTGAACAACAGACGAAGTAATAAAGTACACTGATATTAAGTCAGACAATAGCATTTCAGTACATTAGACAGTAAACCAAATATTCATACTTCATTCAAAAACAAAATGACGCATGATTGAGTAATACCAATGAGAATAAAATTTCACTTCCTTCAACGTATTATGTCATCACACTTTAAGGATGCTATATTCCCTCCAAAAAGGAAAAATCCGATATCCAAAACGAGCATTTATATAATTACGACCAGCGACGCTTAGCTTTGCAAACTTTAATCTTCTCTTCATACCTCTCAGAACTAAAGTAGCAACTTATCGGGTTTTTTGCATAGGCAGATAGTCCAAAGTTCTTGAATCTAAGCGGTCTGTTAATGGTTTTGTGTTTTAGGCGTTGCATCGGTTTTCTAAGAGCCTCATGATCAAAGCTCTTTTGATGTGGTAACATCGAAACCGAATGGAAACATGGGTAATCGACTACACTGAACCTCGTGGCAATACTTGTTTTTAAAAAAGTTTCCAGGACCTAGTGAAAACCTATATTAGGTGAAATAACCCATTTTTGTTTATTTTTGAGTAGGATTAAAAGTTTCATAATCCAGCCAAGATCCATCCAGATTATGTCAGAATATCAAAATGTACTCTATTTTACCTGCTCCATACTGTTTTAACTGGAGAATAGTAAAACACATTCTTGTACCTCGGAGGATTTCTAGAAGACCTTTTCAAAAATCAAAGTATTTTCTGTTAATTTTTAAACCTTTTACTAGACTTCGTGATATGATGTAGATAGAATACAGTACATCTTGATATTCTGACATAATCTGGATGAGTCCTGGCTGATTACGAAACTTTTAATCTTACTCAAAAATAAGCTGGGTTATTTCTCCTAATGTAGGTTGTCACTAGGTTTCTGGAATTTTCTCGAAAAACAAACGTTGATTGTATAGCAATAGGCTCTGAGTGTCAGAAGAAGGTCTGAGCTGTTTTTTTGTATATCTCTAAAGCGTTCGATAAAGTATGGATAAAGGAATGATTATATAAGTTCGATTGTAACAGCCGCTCCGGATTTATAAATTTCTCATAACTGATGATCAATTCTTTTCTTCTAGTTATCTTTCTTGTTTTCAATCATGATCATTGATATTCAACTCTCTTGAGCAAAAATTCGTTTACTCGTTCAAATGTTATTGGTATGATACGTCTAAATTATTAACAAAATATTCGTTTAGATCAAGAACTGAGCTCTACCAACAGTATAATGATAATAATTTAAAAGCATTATTTGTGTGTTTATGGAATGTCAATGAATTTCCAACAATAGAAAAATGTTATTTAAGGCGCCAGTAATTCTAAGTTTTAGTGGATTTTATTTTTTCGTTCTAAAGCACATCACTAGATGCAGTTTTATCTGCTGATCTCGAATATGATCTTCTTTTTTCATGTTGACCAAAATTTTGCGAAAATAGTAAGAAGGTCTCAGAGACACGATAAAGTCGCATTATTTTCTCACAATTTCACTTTCTTATCTCACCAATGTGATTTTCGGACTTCTCACGACAAACTGAGCGTAGGCTTGTGGTCTAGACCTTGCTTGCAAGTATTGTATCAGCTGTTGAAATTCAACAATCGATGGTGCTCCGTTGGTGCGTCCTCATTTCGTAACTCTATCTAGTTTTTCCGGTGAAGACCTAGTGCCTTGCTTCTTGCGCTATTCTAACGGCCGCGTCGCACGCAACAAAAGTACCGCTCGTTTTTTTTAATTTTTCTTTCCTGTGCTGAGAAACGGCGCCTGTAACAGAAACATATTAAAATCCTTGAAATAATTTTGGAAGAAAAAATTTGTTCCTCACTCAAAACTTATAAAAACCAGCTGAAACAGATTATAATCGACGCAGAATTCAGTGGAAGTGGTTTAGAGATTTATAGAGGATCCGAGAGATCTCTAGAACTCCTGGTACAACAAAAATGATCACCTTCGGGATTTACATTTCATTTCGACCATTTTTAGGATTTCGAGCCTCAGTAATATGCAAACATAGGTTTTCAACTATGCTGATTCTCGTGGAGCTGTTTGCTTTTTAAAAAAGTTGAAAAACCTAGTGAAACCTTATACCAGATGAAATAACCCATTTCTGCCTATTTTCATGTAAAATTAGAAAATTCATAACTCAGTCAGTTTTTTTTCTGGTTTTTCAAAAAGGTTTTCTGAAAATCTTCCGAAGTAAGGGAATATTTTATACTATTCTCGCCTACAGAATCTCTTTGAACAGATAAAATAGAGTATATCTTGATATTCTGACATAGTCTGGATCAATTCTGACTGAGTTATGAATTTTCTAATTTTGGATTAGTTTTGAAAAGTGGTTCGAAGATTACAACAGAGAGTGTGTAATAGGTTTTGATAAAATATTATAACAGAATAAAATTTCGAAAGAAACAAAGTTGAACACAAATCAGATTTATGAAAACAAGTTCTTGTTTGAACAAAAATGTTTTTCAGAAGAAAACAACCGTTAGAAAAATACACAAAGAAGAGATATTATAGCGTAGTCACATCGTATAGTGTCTGGAATCGTAAGTTTTCACGAATTTGCTCAACTGTCGAGGGCATCCACGTTTTGTACGTGATAACCTTCACCTCTTCAAATAGATGAAAACCATTCTGATTGAACCGACCTTCGACATCCATCACCTCGAACCAAACGAACAATGCTGGACGTTGTACATTCAAGCGTATATCAAATTCTGTTACCGATCGACTTCTGATGGAGACTACCTGTAAAAGTGGATTTTGCAACCGATAGTTCTTTGGTTGAGTAAAGAATAGGAATTGTTCGTATTTATCAACGTCTTTAGAGTAGGAACAACGAAGTAGACAGACGTTGACACTCTCACACTCTGATTGATGCATTAATTTTTGGTAGGGAATTTCTAGTAAGATTTGTACATCAGGTGAAGTCATATTGACGTCTAAGACGAAAGCCAAGCGTGATTTAAACGAGTTAAAATCGTTTATTGCGCATTTAACGTGTCCTTGGGTACCATTAACTTGTTCACTAATGAGATAGATTTTAACTAAAGAAGTTTCGTCTACACTTAAGTAAGGTTCCAGAATGGGTAAGACGTAGAGGGACTGATATACTTGTTTTACATAATAATGTGACATTTTCCATTTACTGCCGTATTCAAGTGAAGACCATGTTGGAGCTTGCCAGATATCGTTCAGTTGCCAGTACATTAGACCCATTGTATGGCCTTGAAAAACAGAATTCAGATTTTAACTCATAGCTTTTTCTGCTGTCACCAATTCTGTACCCTCTGTTTCTGTACTCTCTGAGTTACCTTGAGAATTATTTTTATTAATCATTGTACGAGATGAATATCGTCTACAGTGATCACTAATTGTTTTCAGATACATTGCCTGATTGATTTGAGATAAATAGATGAATGCGGTAAAATTCTTTTGACTATCATTTGTCACTGGCATAGGCAAATTGAACATCATTGACAGCCTTCAAACAAAAAGGAGACATGAAATGCCTTTAAATAGAAAAAAATTTCTCGTAAAACAACTCACAGCATCTGTTTCTGTCCATCTCTAATATTATGTTGTCGATGTCTCATCAGTGGACTTTCAAATGCTAACTCCTTTGTATCATTTGTAATTTGTAATAGAGTTTCTAAGCTCGCCATTGACTGTAGACCTGTTTCCGATAGAAAACGTGTTATCGGGAAAAAAGTATAATTCCATGGATCAACTTTATCATTGTAATAGTGAACATCACCAAATACAGGTGATTGTGGATCATCGGCAATATAATTTTCCTTTACAGTTTCCCAACCGTTTGATGGTGAAGACAGGAGGAAGGGACGTGTTGGATCGAGTGTTTGAACGAGAGGCATAATGGTACGGGCATAGAGTAGACGATAATCCTCTTCGTATTTTGGACGTTCTGCATCGGGAATGTGGTAGCCACTGTATCGTTTACTAATACTAGCTTCATTTTCATTGTTAGCAGACCATAGGGCAATGGATGCATGGGATTTCAGACGATTAACTTGGTAAGTGATTTCATTTTGAATGTTTTGTAAGAAATTTTTGTTGGTAGGATATCTTAGAATAGAGATGGAGACACATATTTCTCCCAGGTTCATTGACAGTTAAAATCTACTTTGAGTTCTGCGTCGAATAAGAAGTAGTACCACGTTTTTGGAGCATTTTTGTATTTTTGATCTATTACAGGGCCACGTTTCCTCAGGGAACGCTGAAAGTATGAAAATGCTCCAAAAACTCGGTGTCACATCTTATTCGACGCAGAATTTAATGTAGCTTTTACTACTCACAAACTATCTGAGAACATAAAATCTTGCCATATCATAATACCGAGCTGATCAGCCAGTTCATAAAATTCTTTTTTTTCATACAGACCACCACCCCATACCCGCAGCATGTTAATATTCGCTTCAGCTGCCGATTTCAATAAAACTTCTAAATATTCTTGTGTAATACGTTCCTGAAACGAATCAGCTGGTATCCAATTACTACCTTTGATAAATAGCGTTTGATTATTCACTTTGAAATAAAATGATGTACCATTGAGATCGGGGTCGAGATCCGTGTACGGGTCTTGAATTAATTCAATTGTACGAAAACCAATTTGCTTCGTTTTTATTTGAGAGTAACATTCTACTTGAAATTCATAGAGGATTGGTTGCCCAATAGTATGAGGATACCATAGAGCAATGTAGTGTGATGGAACACGAACAGTGAATGGAACAGGTGATTGGTAATTATTGACACAAGAGAGTGTGGTGTTAGACGACCACGACGTATTTATAAGACGAAAATACAAGTCCTCGCTCCGTAGTACTGAACAAGGATTTTCTTCAAATTTTAATTGAAAGTCAATTATCCAACTGTCCTCGTCGTCGTTGGATACTTTCTTGACATTGACATCACACAAATGGAAGTCAGTTTGTGACATGTCTTGTGTGCTACTATCGATTGCTTGCAAATAAATATCACCGGTAATACCCATTGGAGCAAAGGCAGGACCCTGTAAAGTTAAGGAACGATAATAAGTTTTCAGAATTGGCTGAAATTTTCACCAGTTGAAAAAGAAATTGAATTGAATCTACAGTAAAACTTCAGTTTTCTATTCACTTAATTTCCGTTCTAACGCCTTTTTTCACCCGAAAAAAAGTCATTTTCATTCATTCTCGTGAGAAAAGTTCGTGTTGCTGACCGTTTTTCACATCCGAATATCCGTTGATAAGATGAAAAGGATTTTTAGTCTCAAAACGCAGTCAAAAAACGCGTATTTTCTCAACAAAAGGTACGAAAAAGCTTTTTCCTGGCAGAAAAACTGTCTGAAAACAAAAAAAACAAGTCTGCAGTTCGCACTTTCATGCGTGCATTTTGCCCAGTTCTTTTCTTGTGGTAGAAAGCATCGAAGTTCTTACATACCCAACCCCATGAGAATGAACAAGCTTCTTTACGTATAAATTGAAAGTGACATTCACCGTGTGTTTGAGAATCTATACAATTCGGTGGTACATAGTAAGGATAGTTTACTGCTTGTTGAAGTGCATACTCTATCGGTGATCGTATCTGAATTTTCAGCGTATTATTACTGCCTACTTTCAACTGTGTTTGTGTCAGACTAAATGTATATGGAAAAAACATACTACTTGTAGAATTCAACAGAAAATCGTTTAATTCGACTGTAGAAACCGTATCAATCTGTTCTAGAACGAGTTGAAAATCAGTCAATGGTTCTCCAGTCAAAGTAAAATTCTTCTGAAATGTCCAATTTTGATAGATAAGATAACGTTGTAGTACATCATTGTAACCATAGTATGGTTCGTCGATCAGATTGGAAGCTAAGAGAATTGTATGAATTGTACCGGGTACTTTTCCACATGTAGTTAGATTCGGTAAATTAGACGATGAAATTTCCCAGTCTATACCTGTTAGTGAAATTTTAACTGTTTTTGAAAATACGTAAGACACTAGCAGTAACAGTAGTGCCAAGATTAACCTAAATGCCGAGCACATTTTTTGTCTATGGCGTTTTTTACTTGTAGCTTTGGAACATCTGAAAATATCTTACTCGATTCTTTCCCTCTTTGTGTACTTTTAACACATTTTTCACCGTACTTTCTTTATCTTCTTCTCTTCAATTCTTGTGTAAATACTAAACAAAAGCAGAATAAGTAGAGAAGAGCTGTTATTATGTGGTTTGTTTTCTTTTACCTTTATTTTAGTTATTGTAGCTGTTGTTTTCTATAGTTATCATCTCTCACTTCAGTGTTCGCTTCTTTCTGCTAGGAAATAGTAATACATATTTTCAGCACCGGAAAGGGTGTGGGAGAGCATAAGTTAGTTTCTCGCTACTTAAACTTTGGAGAAAAACCTGTCGGATCAAGATCAGAACCGAATGTGAACAAAATGAACCATTCAGGCTTTCTGAGATAGCGACTTTACATCGGTCAAAGCGGGTTTGACTGGTCTGCCGAATGAGGCACCGCGTGAATTTCTCGGACTTGATTCGGCGCCACAGAATCAAAAATACTAACGATAGCGACCGTTTGCGGACTTTCAGAGTGCCCTAATTCAAAAATTCTTCCTCTTAGTCGGAAAAGAGGCTGAAAGCCTAAAAAATTTTCTTTTATTCTCTAGTTTTGTAAGTAGAATAAAATGAGAACGTATAAGTGATATGGTAGTTTTTTTCATTCGACATATCTAGCGCAGCATGCTTTGTCGACTCGCAAATGGTCTTTTAATAGTTGGTACGAGTTATGAATGGATCTGAATATGAATAACTTGTAGATTCATTAAACTAAATAAAAATGCAGATCAATTTTCCTTCCAACCGTTGGTCCCGCTACACATCACCTGAGTGAATCCATCAAATAAATTTCCGCCATTGGTTTGGATCAAAGTCATTATTAGTGAGTGCCCATGAACGCAACGCTGAAAATCTTCTGAGTCGAAACCATTTCACGTAGCCCTGTAAATATCTATCCTAATTTACCATAAAATCCGTTCAATTTTTTTTTGATATTCCCAAGATAAAAGTGTGCCACCGTTGAAAAATTTGTTGATTCGGTATCTGCTGCCACGTGTGCTGCTGTATTTCCAGTAATAGTATCAACAATACAAGTTGAATCGTAATCAATACTCAACGGTTTTATATCAACCTGAATAAAATTTTCTTTTGCTTCGTTAAACTTCATTTCTAGTTGTCTTAGTTTACATTTTATGGCTTCTAATTTGATCGTATGTTGCAACGCCTTCTTTCAAAAGTTCATGTGTTTCTTGTTTTAACTGATCTATTGCTGCTAAACAATTAGCTTTTCGTTTACTTTGATCGATTGCTGCATCGAATGGAATTGAGTGCGATTATTTTAATTTTTATTATAAATAATTTTCGAAAATCCAACTGCTAATCAGCAATTACCGTTGATCTTAATTGGTTGGATTACTCAGAAATTGAATTTACTTAGCAGGATAAAGAATAGGATAAAACGATGTATATATAAAATACCTAAAAACACTGCTTCCTGCCTTAAAATTTGTCTTATTCTGCGGATTCTTGAAAATTGGTTCTTGGAAATGGATACAATCAGTGATACATTTTGTCTCATATACTCTTATCTCTTCAACATGTATTTAACTCTAGACAACCTTGTTCTGGAGACTCGAGCTTCTTTAATGTGGTCCATTCTTCTCTAAGTACATTGGTGCTTCTGAAAGCTTTCGAAGCTAGAGGATTTTTCAAAAACGAACTTTTCCTGTGTTCTGGTATCCCATCCACGGTTTTTCAGAAATCCTAATTCCACACATTTTGAAAAAATATTAATGAGTCAAAATATAGCGTGTCTTTTAAAATCCTAATGCGATATGATTCATCAAATTTCCTCCACATGACAAGAAGTTATGCTAGACCAACTTTCTCATGTAACACGCCTATTATCTGTTATTGAGGATGTTGTCGTCTTGTCCAACTGGATTCATCAATCCACCTCACTGGGATCAAGCACCTCACTGGGATGTACTAGCTACCCAATTTTGACAAATATAAGTTTGAGACTTTATCTTCATATGTATTCGAATCGTCTTAGCAGTACCTATTATAGTCAGCTGCATATATACTTTGTTTACTCTCATTGCTCAAACAGGATAAAGCAGCAAAAGCAAAAACTACATTTTTGTTCCAGAACTTTTGCATGATACTGTAGTTTTGTTCGCTAGCAGAATGAGTCCAAATGATTAATGAGAAATAATAATTTTTTCTGATGGATTGATCACAGCCGTACCAGCGTAATGGAGGTCAACATGTTTTCCTACAGTTATTATTGTCGCTCGTCCTCGTTGCGGATGTCTCGTTGTGGTTTGTGCTGCTATTTCTGCTTGATTTGTTCTCTTGTTCGTGGTAAATAATATAGGGAAAATATATTTCAAACAATAATCGATAGCCATACTTTTACATTCGTGACGATATGTTTCTGATGTCAAATAGTGAATATAAAATGTCAACGAATTATTAATGTATATAAGAAACGTACCACTGAGGAATGTAATAACAATTCAACAGACAATCTCAAGTAACTTTTTCGATCATTGAATATTACCGCAGCATAAAATGAATTAATTCCATATAAAGTTGCCATCAAAATATAAATCTGAATCTCCACAAATAACACTGGCATCAATTGGGTTTTACGGTGTTTGCTTCGCTGCGGATGTGCACCACCAAGCGGTTGTATGCATTGACGAATGTGTCTTAAATTTCTATATGCCAAACAAGTAAAAATAATCGTTAACACGAATAGCATTGTGCCAGCCACAATTAATATGTATATACTGTAAATAAGATTATAGACTCGGGGAAAATTCATTTTTGTTGTTGAATTGTTTGCAAACTTGAAAGATTTATGGGAATGACGAACCATGCAAGTGATGCCACAGCGGCCAGACGACGTGCGATACGAGGACGACTAAAGAATTGTTATTATACCCAAACATCGAACAAAGATATTCGCAATTCAGCCTAACCCTTGTGATCGATTCTTACAGAAGAATCTGGCAGGAATCTGATAAGAAACTTATAAGAATCCGATATGATTTGTATAAGATTCTTATTGAATTCTTACATATGAGGTCCGCTCGAAAGTGACAAGAATTCGATAGAGTAGATTTGAGTTGAGAATCTTGTAAGAATTCGGCAAGAAAAGGACAGGTACTGACAAAAACTTTCAGTATTGTTTTTCCTTTTTTAGTAAGCTGTATAGTTCATTAGTAAGTGTGCAATAGGTCGCGAGGCATTCTCGAAACAATCGGTTTTACCTACCTTGAAGAAAGTTTGAAAACATTTCCAAGGAATCAGCAGTATATAGTATGTGCTTCTGCAAAATAAAACGGTGATTTTAGTAAGGATTTCATAAGGAAGTGATAGAAGCGTCTTATCAAAGTCATAGCTCATTGTTATTTAAATCTTACCTGATTCTTATCAGATTCGTACGAAATTCTTGCCATTTTCGTACAGACTTTTTATGTAAGAATTCGATAAGGCTCGGATGAGATTCTTACCAGAAATAACAAATGTTTGTCTATGGAAGATAAATAAACTGAACACGAATTCGACTTCAGTGATTTTTGTGAGAATATAATCAACTTAAAAGCATTATCAGTAAAAAAAGAAAAAAACTTGTTGAAATGAACCCGAACCAGACTGAAGGAAAAAAGGAGTAGCATTTTTTTGATCATCAAAAAAAGCGACTTTTGATCACCAAATTTATTAGTAGAGAAAGAAAATATATAAAATAAGAATGTAAGCTGTCGGCAATTCAAAAGATAAGCAAAACTTTTTTTTTAATTTTTGTTGCTCATTAGATCGAGCTTATCGAGTTACCTAGAAAAAACTGACACGTGGATTCTTGAAAGTCTTTTTTCATTTAAGACATTTTAAAATATTGATTTTTTAAAAATGGGCAAAATTCAGCCAAATTTTGAAAAACAACCAAAATTTCAGGGTTTATTGTCTTTTTAAAATTTTGGTACTATTTTTTTCTGATTTTACATACAAAATTGAATATAAAAGGTAATTCAGATACTTTTGGAACCTGACTGGCCGACTGAAATCGCTGAAGATCGAGCAGAACGACTGGAACCCCACCCGAAGTTCTTGTAAGCCTATCTAGTTTTTTTTCTTTATTTAAGTCATCACAGTTGTGGGAAAAAAAGTTAGTATCGGTTTTAGAAAATATTGTTCCGTTGTTGAGAAAATTAATTTTCTTGAAACAGGTAGCAAAAACCAAGAAAATTCACTTGTATTTTGCAGTTTACACTGTCAAATTTTCACTTATTTGCAAAACCAATGTCATATTTGGAATCAGCATGAAAAGCTGACTCGATTGATGTGTGTCTCAGGATATTTGGGCAACTTTCATTTTTTTTGATCTTTTCCGCAAAAATCTCGGTTGAAAAGTTCGAACAAAATGAAAGTTGCCGAAATATGCTGAGACACACATCAACAAGTCGCAAATAAGTCGTCCCACTATTTTTAGTTTCAATTCGTCCCATTACTTATTCTGCATACGTTCTCTTATATTTAACTTAGCTTCCACGAATGGAAACAAAAATAAATATTACGAATACGTTGTCTTTATTCCATATGAATTTCTAGGGTTCGCATTTTATGATTAATTCATGATGACTAAATCTTGTAAACATAACAAACGACAGTTGTGCAACTACAATCTCTGCATCTCCACGGATTACTCTTCTTATTACTTCGTTTTTTTTTGTAAACTAATAATCATATAAATTCAGCACAAGTTTACTTTTTTACAGCAGAAGCAGGTTAGATTTTTTTTCATGAATTGATAACCCGGAGTGTCTTATTCAAAATGCGAGTCAAGTGAGACCTTGATTTTGCGCGGTCCGAGCGTTGTATCGGATTTTCTACGAGTCTCAGGACTGGCACCCGATGACTGTTAGTAGCCTTGAAGACAGATGGACTATGGATAATGGGCCCTGCTGAATCTTGTGACAATATTTGCTTTTGGAAAAAGTTTTGAAAATCTACCGAAAGCGAGTTTTATGAAAATTAGGGTTTTCAGGCTGTTTTCACCTAATATTAAAAAGTTCACTATTCTCGCAAAAAACATCAGAGCGAGTTCAAAACTTCAGTATGCAGAGTATTTAAGTCATTCTATATCTTATTTGTAGGGATTCAGAAATTTATTTTAAAAACCCTAAGGTTTTCCAAATGGGCTTCTGCAAAATCTATTAAGAAAAATCGTTTTTTCTCGATTTTTTGATCTTATAATGACGTTTAGCGAAAATGTTAACCATATTCTGAAGTTTTCTGATGTTTTCTGAGTGAATAGTGAAGTTTTTAATATTAGGTGAAAACAGCCTGAAACCCTAATTTTCATAAAACTCGCTTTCGGTAGATTTTTAGAACTTTTTCCAAAAGCAAACATTGTCACAAGATTCAGCATGACCCATTATCCATAGTCCATCTGTCTTCAAGGCTACTAACAGTCATCGGGTGCCAGTCCTGAGACTCGTAGAAAATCCGATACAACGCTCGGACCGCGCAAAATCAAGGTCTCAATTGACTCGCATTTTTGAATAAGACACCCAGAGTTATCAGTTCATGGAAAAAAATCTATATAATCTTACTGGGAGGCTTTTACACACGATCTAGTTTTCCGAAAATTCCATACAAAACCTATTTCAGAAAATTCTGCTGGAAAAACTTTGGTTATGAAAACGTGCCTCCATATCTCCTCTTTCGAATGATGAAAACAGAAGCTCTCTAGCTCTTTCCTATCAAAATTTATTTAAAAACAACCGATGGTACTGTTTTTCTTTACAGATAGTATTCAACATACCGAAAATATCCGTCACATACCCAAATTACCCGTTACATACCCAAATTACCCGTTACATACCGCATAACAAAATAGCATACCATACATACCGCATAACGAAATAGCATACCATACATACCGAACTTGCTTTTTCCTCCTTGAAATTTCTACTGTTTAGATACGTTTCGATACATATTTTTATTTTCTTTATTCTGACCAACATGGACAAAACCCTTGTTATTTTGAAGAGCACAACGGGAACTTATATATAATAAGTGTTTAAAAAATGAGACGAATTGAGATAGAGCAATTAGAGATGAATCGAGATGATACGCTTTTTACAATTATAGAAAAATGATAAATTAAATTAAAATACGCAATTGAGCAAATTTTTCTTTTTTTTCTAATGCATAGGAACTCTCAACATACATATAGTAGAGCACACAAATTGTATCATGACGGCGACTTTTCAAAGTTTTTCTTCCATTATTTTTGATGAACTCACCCGCCCATTTAGTTTAAACATTAGTTGTCTTTACGGTTCAGGTCAAAAATTTCTTGTTAACATATAGATCTTCTAAATGTTTGCTTCCCTTTCTTTCTTATTCTTTTCCATTAAATTTTGTAATTTGTAGAAGAAAGAATTTTCTAGGTTATGAAACGACAGAAGAAAAGAGTATTTTTCTAATAACCAAAATATTTATAAATTCTTCCATTTTTGTTGGTAAACTCTCAATTAGACATTCTTGTATATAAAAAGGAAAAGTTAAAGATGTTCTTTCATGATACAGTTTTTGTCCTCTACTGTATGTATGTCAAGAGTTCCTATGATAGATTATTAAAAAAATGAAATTTTGTTCAATTGTGTATTTTATTTTAATTTATAGCTTATCTTCAATAATTCATTTAGTAATATAATGCGACGGTCTTTATCTTGTCTCGATTGGCGAATCAATACGTATTCTGGCGGCGTCATTGACGGTAAACGAAATGTACGATATTGAAATTCTGTGACACAACATTTCCGCGAAGACTTCTTTATTGAAAACTTTCCATGCCCGATCCGAATACAGCTCCTTTTTCTCCTGATATTATTTTTAAGTTGAAAGTTTTTTCAATAACTGTATTGTGTAGAGCAATGCATCAACGACGTTTTGAAAAAAAGAATTATCAAAAAATCTCTTTTTCTTACTTTTGATTTAAATTCTAAAATCTAAAAATTCAAGTTTTTTCGAAACCCCAGTTTTTCAATGTTTTTCGTACCAATAGATACTTTTACATGCACCATTGAATAGTGCATGAAAAACTGAACAAACTCCGCGGTTTGTAAGATTTCAAAAATGAATCTAACAGGGTTTTTGAAAGGCTTTCCGGAAATCTTTAACGATGTTTGGTTCTTCTCAACATTTTTCATCTGATTTTAATTAATTTTTGATTTCGATTCAAATTAATATTCTTTGATAGTATAACACAATAACAATTTTGGCATTTGAACAGCTTTTCAGGGGTTTTGGAGGTTCTCCGAGGATTTTGAGGTAGTTTTACCTACGAAAATCGTTAAATGATGATGAATGTCATACTTTTAACAATTTTGTATTCATGATTTCACATTTAATAACGCTTTGTTGACTATTATACGGATAATTAAATGGATCCTTTCACATATAGCATAATAATACTATTATTGGCTCCAAATTCAATGCACTCGGTTGTTTTTCGAATAACCCCAGAACGATAAAAGATAGAGACTTGCAATTTTCAACAATCAAAAGAAGACAGTTTAGCCTATGTTTCCATAGCAAAACCCCTTTCCGAAACTATATATAAGATAACTCTTCGTTATTCCTGGTTCAGGTGTGGCATCCGATTTCCTCAGAGTCCCAGCATCAATATTTCTTTAGGTGTGGTAATTCCAAAAATAAATGAAAACATAGGTAATCAACCACGCTGAATCTGGTGACAATATTTGTTTTTCAAAACAGTTTCAAAAACATAGCGAAAACCTAAACCTCCCCCATAATAGAATGCCATCCCCTTTTAGGAGACCAGACAGTTTCTTTATTAAGTTCCCT